ATATATCATCAATAAAAAACCAAAGACGTGAAGTGAGAACAACCAAAAAAAGCTCAAAAGATAATTTTAAAAAAGAAAACCCTGATCTGAAAGTTCAGGTTTAAAGTTTAAGTTTAGTTTACAGTAATTGCAATTTTAACTTTTTTTTTTTTTTTTAAAAAAACAACAACAAGCAAATATTATTATTTGCTCCTTTTGTGATAAAATTAAAACGGATTAACAAACTTCACTCACTCTTCAAACGTAAGAACATTTTTATTTTTTGATAATTTAGTGATTTATACATCCGAACTTGCGGCATGTTGACAAAATGGATTTATCTAAAACACACACACACAAACACACACACACAAACACACACTTGTTTAACTTCAGTGACTTCACTCCAACATTATGTCTCGCTCTCAAAACTTTGATCGAAATAAAAGGATTAAAAAAATAAAAGACGCACCAACAGCAGCTCTCTATTAAAAAAAAGAAAAGAAACTAAAACTGATTTTTTTTTAAATATCTAAAATAACTATTATAAATCACGTCACTCTGTACAGCGGTCAAACGGACACACATTAAGTCTGGATTAACTGAATTTTCTCCCGCCGGTTCTTTCTGCAGCCGGGAGTTGAAGGATGAAGACCCGCCGCCTCCTCCGCTTCTCTGACCGCTCACTGAGACACATTCTCCGGACACGGTTCTTCCCGCGGACCGTCACCGTCACCGTCTGCTGCTGCTGCTGCTGCTGTTACTGCTGCGTTCACACCGTGGACTGTCAGCAGCTGCAGCACGGAGATAATGCAGCGGGGTCTGAGGGGCTACAGCAATGGGAGGAGTAAGAAAGTTCCCCTCGGCCCTGCCCACCGAGTCAAATACATATAAGACGGTGGAGTGGAGCAAAAGAGCAGGCACTTAAGCCTTAAATCTGATGAAAGACTTACCCAAGAAAAAAAAACTTATATTATAATAATAAAAAAATATTTTTTTATAACTATATTTTTTTTAAAAATATGGTTTCACTTGCATTTGAATTTTTTCTTTCTGCCCTCACATGGATGTAGAAGACGTGTGTTTTTGGTTCTGAAACATCCGACCAGTGAGAGCTGAAAAGAGAAGATTTCTTTTTCTTTTTTTTTTTTTTAAAGGAACAAGTGCGGCAGAAACCAACGCCCCGACGATGGCACTGGGCACCGAGTACGACGTGAAGGGCAGCAGCATCATCAGGGAGTGGAGTGGACAGGTCCAGCCCGCTCTCGTCGCCTCCTTCGTCTTCCTGTTCTGCCTGGAGGCCTGTCTGTGGGTCAGGAACCTCAGACAGAAGAGGAGACTGCCGGGACCCTTCGCCTGGCCCGTGGTGGGCAACGCCATGCAGCTGGGCCAGACGCCTCACACCACCTTCGCCAGGCTGGCCAAGAAGTACGGCAGCGTGTACCAGATAAGACTGGGCCGCAGCGACATCGTGGTCCTGAACGGGGACAAGGCGATCCGTCAGGCTCTGATTGAACACAGCACGGAGTTTGCAGGCAGACCCAACTTTGTCTCCTTCCAGATGGTCTCCGGAGGCAGGAGTTTGACTTTCACCACCTACAGCAAACAGTGGAAATTGCACAGGAAAATTGCCCAGACGAAACTCAGGGACTTCTCCTCTGCCACCAGTCAGACCAAGAGTGCCTTTGAGCAGCACATCACCGTGGAGGCCTTGGAGCTGGTGAAGATATTTCTGTCCCACAGCAGTAACGGACGCCACTTTAACCCATCGCAAAAGTTCACGATCGCCGCCGCCAACATAATGTGTGCTCTTTGCTTCGGGAAGAGATATGGACACGATGACCTTGAGTTCAGGAACCTGCTGCAAAAACTTGAAAGGTTTGGAGAGACGGTCGGGGCAGGAAGCCTGGTAGATGTGATGCCCTGGCTCCAGAACTTCCCTAACCCCGTCCGCAGCGTGTACGAAAACTTCAAAACCCTCAATGAGGAATTCTTCAGTTATGTCAAGGACAAAGTGGACGAGCACAGAGAGTCCTTCACCCCCGACGTGGTCCGGGACATGAGCGACTCCATCATCAACGTGATCGAGCACAACGAAGACTGCGGACTGTCCAAGGAGTTCGTGGAATCGACCGTGACGGATCTCATCGGCGCAGGTCAAGACACGGTGTCGACCTCCCTGCAGTGGATCTTGATTCTCCTGGTCAAACACCCAGACATGCAGAGGAAAGTCCACGAGCTGATGGACAAAGTGGTGGGTCCAGACCGACTGCCCACCATCGAGGACCGAAGCCGCCTGGCGTACCTGGACGCCTTCATCTACGAGACCATGCGCTTCATCAGCTACGTTCCCCTGACCATCCCTCACTCCACCACCTCAGACGTCACCATCGAAGGTCTGCACATCCCTAAAGACACCGTGGTCTTCATCAATCAGTGGTCTGTCAACCATGACCCCCTGAAGTGGAAGGACCCCCACATCTTTGACCCCACGCGCTTCCTGGACGAACACGGAGCCCTGAATAAAGAGGTCACCAGCAGCGTGATGATTTTCTCCACGGGTAAACGCCGCTGCCCGGGAAGCCAGATCGCCAAAGTGGAGTTGTTTCTATTCGCAGCGGTGCTGCTGCATCAGTGCAGCTTTGAGGCTGACCCCTCCAACCCCCCCAGTCTGGACTGCTCCTACGGGCTCACGCTGAGGCCCCTCCATCTAAGCATCAGTGCCAAGCTCAGGGGAAAGCTGCTGGACGTCGTTTCTCCAGCGTGAACACGAACGCGTCCCCAGAACTGTGACTCCGGGCCAGAAAACACTTTATCACCCATGATATTTACAGTCGGAGTGAGTATCAGTATACCTGCACTAAACCCTGTCGTAAGAGTCCAGTATTTAACAGTGATATTTAACAGATACATTAACAGAGTCTGTACTGATTGATTGCGGCTGCAGGGCCGCGGGAGTCGATGTAAAAATGTATCATTTGCCACGAAAAAAAAAAAAGAAGAAGAAGTGATATTTACTTGATGTACATGAATGTGTCATTCCGGTTCAGGCGCTCGTTTCGCACCCACTGTTGTTGCGTGATGGCCCTGAAACGCTCGTGAATGTTATCAAGTGGTAAATATGTAAGAATATATTTAACCTTCGCCACATAGTGCAGTACAAAAATGTTTTTATTCTAATTTTTGTATTTCAGGTATGATTTAGACCAAAAAGAAAAGTATGACTATTTAATGTAATTCACTATCTACTGTATATGAACACATTAAAGGAAGAGCACAGGTCAGAGGTCAGAGGTCAGAGGTGGAGGGCGGCATGTTTGTGAGGCAGGAAGTCTTTCATCCCCCCCTCCGCCCCCCCCGCCGCCGCTTCAGGATGGAGACGCGACCCCGCTGCGGGACCGCGGACACTTCACAAATGTGTTATTTTTTACTGTACTAGCATTGCAGCTACTTCAGTCTCACCCCTGTCTCACCCCTGTCTCACCCCTGTCTCACCCCTGTCTCACCCCTGTCTCACCCCTGTCTCACCTATTCAAACAAAACACATGTGAGGCAGAGGCATTTTTTTTGTTCCCTGAGGCGTTCTCAAAAACATGTTTGTTTACAAATGAGCTACTTCAAAGCTACGCGGATGTCACCGCCCCACCCCCCCC